TCTCGCTTTCAGTTTCGGGCTTTGGCGCGTTTCGCGCTCACACACAAGCGTACCGCGCCAAAGCCCAAGTGATCCGCGCTCAGGCACACCTCTTCCAACCGGGCCAGGGCCGGCCAAGTGAACCGTGCTTGAGCCCGATTCAGCGCACTCACACTTCTCAAACGATCCGGGAAACGGGCCTGGGCACGGTACGGATGGCATAGTGTGAGTAGGCCCTAAAGCTCAGATATCAGGGTCCACTGCTAAGGATTTTTTCTACTGGCCCGATTAGATCAGTGGTTTAGATTTTTACTTGCCCCAACAAAAATAAAAGAAGCTAATAGCAATTTCTTAGCCACATATTTTACATAATGTGTCAAAATAACGTCTTTGAATCTAGAATTTAAATATTTAAAAAATGTTAAAATATTTGGCTGTAAAATAAAACAGTATGGAAAATGTGCAGGTATTTTATTGCCAAAAAAAAAAAAAAAAAGTTGACTTACTTGCCAAACTGACGGCAAACATTTCAGAATACCACTTCATTTTGTTGTACCCACATAAATGTGTTTCCGAGACATTAGAAACAGAAGTTTTCTTTTAGCCTCATAATTTGATGTTGCAAAAAAACAAAAAAAAATAAGCATGCTTATAACATCCAATCAGATAAGAGGAACAAAAAAGCAATATGTTGTTTATGACTTAAGTAGCATTCAAAGGCTTAAAAACACAAACTGTTTCTCGATTTTACGGCTGTATTTGCACGCAACTGATAAATTTAGTGATGAGGCAGCAGTAGCCCGATCGGGCCAGTAACGATTCTGTCTACTGTCCTGAGCTTATTATTATTATTAATTGTTATTCCTGTGTTAATACACAACAATTATTTCAGATTTATTTTATGTCTGTATTGTTTGGGTTTTTAGCAAAATCTGCTTAAATTCCACGTCAGCAGCTCCTTTAGAGATGGTGTTCAATACTTATTTCCCCCACTGTATGTTCTACTGATAAACCACTGATGGCGACTTTGTTTATGTTGAGTATCTCACCATAATGAGACTCCTAACTTCACTTAAGTCACTGTTTTTTCACAAAACCCAAAAGCTTTGCCACAGAACATGGAAAGTGTAGGCGAGACGATTTCTGCCTCTGCTTTGCCAAACCTCATCCAGTGTTAAATATAGCAAAGTGTTGGTCTAGCCGCAGCCGAGCGTGTGGTTTCATCTAAAACTGTCCAGCCAGTGGCCACAAGCGACACTAATCTTTAGTCTAATTATCCCACTGTTAAGCAGCCATAAGCGGGCGGCTGGTTGGGCCCAAACACCCCGTTATTACTCCGAGATGTCATTAGTTTAAGTGTGTGTGAGTGTACAAGAGAGTATTTGCACTGTGTTTAGTGGTTGACCAATATGGCTGATGCTCATAATCATATCTAGCGAGTGGTTTGACTTCAGATTTTACACTGAACGCTGTAGTAAACACACTCAGCTCAGTAGCAGAATTAGGGCTGTGGGTGAAATGACTAAATCTCATAGCAAGATTTAAGTCATGATTAAAGTATATGAATATATGAAGAATATATTAAGGTAAACACTAAAGAAATTGCATGCTCTGGTAAACACTTTATTAAACTTAAATATTTGAGCAAAATAATATTTTCACTGAAGGGCTAATACATTTGGCTTCAACTGTGTGTGTTTGTTTGTGTTTTAGTGAGTGTATAAGTGTATGAGTGAATGTGTGTAGGGGGATCACGGTTGATATGTGATTAATCCTAAGTTTGTAACAATCACAGAGAGATCGCCTCTGGCACCATTCAAATCACATTGTATGAAAGCATTTTGGCTTCTCTGTAAAATATAATGATGACGGAAGACGTTGTGGAGTGTCATTCGGAATATGACGGGTTTCATTAAAGGGGTTTTCTGTCACTGTTTGTTTAGCCTGCGTTAATGCATTCAGTGTAAGCTGCATGATTAATCATTAAAAGATCAGGATCTCAACACCCACGCAACATCAATTATAAATGATGCTGATTTGCATATGTTTATTAATCCTTCCAATCACTGCTTTCAAAGTCTGAACACAAAAATCAAGAAAGAGATTCAGTCTTTTGAGTTAGTAGTTAGTAGAGGTGTAACAATACACGATATGATGTGTATCACGATATGATGTTCACGATACAATATGCATCACGATATTTTATTTATATTTAATTAGCAAAATCCAATTTTGTCGACCATAGAAAATTGTATCATGACTTTTACCATAAATACTCCTATGCATCTCGTTATTTCTTCAGCTTTGGCTCTTAAGCGAGACACTCGATTGCACTTTGGCGCTGTGGTGACGGCATAAATGGCACATCATATTTGTCGTCTTCACAGCTTTGTATGGCAGCATTTTTTTACAGTGTTTACACACAGTTTGTGTTTTATCTGTTTTCTTGTTACCGTCCTCTTCAGTAACTGGAAAACCAAAATGTTGCTAGTTGTTGTACTTATAAGAGACATCCTTTATTTCAGCTGCACTCATATTGGCCTGCTGCTAGTTCAAGCAATCTGAATGCATGTGACAGCAGGTGGAATGTAGCCAATATCGTATCAACCAATAAGAGAAATCAAAAGAATGTCATATCGCAATAAATCTGTTATAATGCCACAATGCTTATTTTTTGTATTGCAATAAATTGATATATTGCATGGTTTCCGCTGCATTCATTCTTCCATGGCGGGGCGCCACACCAAAATTCATCCTGCCTCGGCTACATTACAGCTTCTCATTAATTCAAAACATTCATTCATTGTTGTTGTTGTTGTTTTTAATTGTGGGTTATAATCGCACCAAACGCATTAAAAGGTAAGTGAATTATAACAGTGCGAACTTTACTGTAACCGTAGTAGTGCTGTGCGCCATGTGTTTAACACTTTAAGGTGACGTGCTGACAGACAGACTGACTTACTGACAGGTGCGCGATGCATGAGGCCAGCAAACACGACGTAGCTTTCAGTTAAGATGATCACAGTTTCCTAATTATACTTTATTTCTAGATAAAGGTCTGTGATTCTGCATACAAAGACTTTAACGTTATCTTGCTGGAGTTTACTGCCATTTCACTTTACTTCAGGACGCATTAATCCCACACTCTAGGTCTATTGGAGACATTCATAAATATTCCTAGCAAATCTAATAAATGTTGGAGACATACTCACTACATAAATGCGCTAAATCGCACTTCAGCAGTGTTTATCTGAGAGCGCACAAGAAGATCTGCACTTGATAGCCTGTTTGAGGGCGTGCAAGAAGCTTTGTGCACGAGCAGAGGAAATCGGCGCGAAAGCAGAGATTGACATGCTCATATTACCCTTACATAAATGCGATCCCAACGTGTAATACTGTGGTAGATTTTAGGGCTGTGCAATATGGACAAAATAATCGTATTGCGATTTTTACGAACAAATATTGCGATTGCTATTTTATTTGCGATTATGGCAACTGTTTTTGCTTTTTCAAACAAGCTACATACATTCTAAATGCATTCAGTGCAGAAGAAGTGCATAACAAAACTATTGAGTCAGTAATTTCTTTATGCCGTTTTGACCCTTTCCCATAATGCACTGCGCTTGCAAATGCTTGAACAATGGATACTAGTTTAGTCTGTTTGGGCTGGCTTTGATGTGTGCTTTTGTTTGTTTCAATGGACTTTGTCGAGATGCATTGATCATGCAGTTTTTCATGACACTGTTTTAAGTGTTGGATCAGATTTGTAGTATTGCTCCGTTTTGTTGGAATAATCATTTCACAAGTCTTAAAAATTGCCTTGCTCTCTGACACATCCTCTCTCCTGAATCCAAAATACTCCAAAATGACTGTCGTTGAATTTCTCCTCGGCACCAAATCATTTTTATTTTGACCTGTATCCATATTTTATGCTCTTTCCTCCTGCTCACCTATTCGGTTCTCCCACTCAACTTCGTCATGCGCAGAGTGAGCTGGTTAACATAATAGCTGTAATTGCCCGGTGCGCTACGTCAGCTCTGATTGGTTAACATATTAATATCATGCGCACAAGAACATATTCTGAATAAAATTCTAAATAAATTAATAGATAAAAAATTGCAGCCTTTTGCGATTTAGAAATTGCGTGTGCTTAAGTTGTGATTTAAAAAAAAAAAAATTATATATTTTTTATTTTATTTATTTATTTATTTTTTTTGCGATTGCGAATAATTGCACAGCCCTATTAGATTTGTGTAAAAGACCTGCCGCCACAGCTGGCAAACCTCCTAGAGAAAACACTGTATTGTTACACCCCTAGTAGTTAGTTTAAGTTACAAACAATCCAATAACACAGAAGTACTGGGAGAAGAGTTTATAGTTTAGATATAACCACTGATGTTTATGGTAAAGATTAACATCACCGTCATATAGGAGTGAGAACCTACACTGGTCTCATGGTTCGTTTACGATTATCATGTCAACGATTCGGTTCAATTCGATATCTCAGTGCATCACGGTGCATTGACAATGCTTATCTTGCATAATTAGATTTTTTCTTCACGAGCGCTGTCAAGCGAGGTCTTACACCTCTATGATTGGTCACAACGCTTTTAGTAATCTATTTTTATCGATTTAATCGATTTGTTGTTGCAGCGCTACATTGCTTGCAGCACTAGTATGAACGAGTGTGTGTTTATGTGTGGTAGTGAGTGTGTGACTGTATGAGTCAACGTGTGAGAGACAGAAAGAGTGGGTGATGTGTGAGTGTGTGCGTAGGTATGTGTTTTTGAAATAAAATAAATAAAAGCCCCTCAAAAGTATTGATATTTCATAAATCAAGCGTGTCTGTCTCTATCATTGCTAATTTCCGATCTCAGAACTGTTCTTTTAAATGAAAATATATTGAGCGCTGTCTGCTGAGTCAGCAGCTGAAACACACACACACACACACACACACACACACACACTCTGCATCTGCATTAACGTGTTGTGCTGTTGTGTTCAGGTGCGGAGCTCGGCTGATGGATGAGGACGAGGATGATGTGTTCAGGAAGGGTCTCCAGCACTGGCCTCCTCCCCACCTGCAGATAAAGCAGACTGAGTTGGCAGGACGTCCCGCTGGGTCACGCAACGGTATGCTGCTCTGCCGGCATCTCCAGCAGCACGGACACTTTCTCTACGGTAAGACAAACACACACGCATACAGTCATCTGTCTCTCTTGCTGTCGTATTAACCATATTCTTCACTAACGAGTGAACGCAGCTATCCTCTTTTTGGCCTGAGACTTCCATTTTTAAGGGGCGTCACGGTGGCCCAGTGGTTAGCACTGTCGCCTCACAGCAAGAAGGTCGCTGGTTTGAGTTGGCTGGGTCAGTTGGTGTCTCTATGTGGAGTTTGCATGTTCTCCCCGGGGTGGCGTGGGTTTCCTCCGGGTGCTCCAGTTTCCCCCACAGTCCAAACACATGCGTTATAGGGGAATTGAATAAACTAAATTAAACGTAGTTTATGAGTGTGTGTGTGTAAATGAGTGCGTATGGGTGTTTCCCAGTGCTGGGTTGCAGCCAGAAAGGCATACGCTGTGTAAAACATATGCTGGATAATTTGTCGGTTCATTCCATTGAGGCTCAAACCAGTGACCTTCTTGCTGTAATGTGATTGTGCTACCCACTGCGCCACCGCGTCACCCATGATAATTACAATAAATATATATACTGGATGGGCCTCATGGTGGCATGCGGTATAGGTGAATTAGGTAAGCTATATTGGCGTTGTGTATGAGTGTGTGTATGGGTGTTTTTCAGTACTGGGTTGTGGCTGGAAGGGCATCTGCTGCGTAAAACATATGCCAGAACCAGAACAGTGGTTCATTCTGCTGTGGTGACCCCTGATAAATAAGGGACTAAGCCGAAGGAGAATGAATGAATTGTTTTGCTCTTGAGTGCAAATTGCAGAACTCACACCG